GTGGCCACATAAATCAGGGTCCATTTTCTCCCTTTATCCACTGAGGTAGGTCTTCCCGGATGTGAATGGCACGGGCGATGATGCAAGACCAGTTTGTTTACGGGGGGGGGGGGAGTGGGAGTGGACCCTCGATCGATCCAGATCGGTCTGTCTGAAAGAGGCGAATGTTTTCGGATAGCACAGAAGCAGAAAGAAGAGAGGCAGAGAAAAGGAATGGGAGAGGTCGGGCACATCCTGTTACCATGTACTGCTATCCGTTCTCTTCAGTGCGATGGAATTCAAAAGCGATGACTGGATGCTCGCCCTCAGGCAACTGGCCTCCCCTCGTACTCGTCTCCTCTCCCCCCCCCCCCCCCTCTCCACGAACCTTCCTTTGTTCTCTTTCACTACGATTCCGTGCATGTGTGTGAATGAAGGACGCAAGGACGGGACGAGGCATGGATCGGCTGGACGGGTTACAGCGTGTGTCATACACGATACACATGCAGGCGATTCTGCTCGAATACTTCCGCAACTGCGCCCTCTTTCGTTCCCTTCCGTCCGATGGGCAAGGGGAAGGAGAGAAAGGAAAGAATCGATAGACCGACAACCCCTCTTTTCGTGCTTCTCTTTCTTCCTCTCGCTGCCTCAACTGGGGACAGCATCCTGCAGGAATTTCACCTCCTTTGTCTTCGTTTCTTACTTGCACCAAACATCCGCTGGATCGAAGATTTGCTTCCGTAATAGTATGCGTGCCACCTCTTTACTTCTGACAGCTCCGTACCAGAAATGGCGGGAAATTATTCCTCCCAGTGAGAAGCCATACTTCACCGACACCATAATACCGCGAAGGCAGCCCATGATGATTATGGTCATGAATCCATGATGATGATGACCGCGCAGGGTGTGAGCTTGCTCGGCAATCGATTATGCTGAAGAAAACATCCGTCGACTGTTTCCAAGAGCGCCCGTTGGTGGTCATTGCTTCGGCGTTGCAGACGTACAGTCACGAGAGAATCCAAGAAATCATTCCTTTCGAGGAAGGGATACTCTGAGGGTGTTTCTGCTTGTAACTCTGATGAATGAGATTGAGCAAGCAAGTAATTAGGGTGTGATGCAACCTTCCAGTACTCCTTTACGTACACTTCCATGATTTCCACGTGTAGAGTGAAGCCTCGTCCCTCATCTGCTTGTCAGTCTCGGTCCTTGTATGCATTGTAAACGTAAGGGTCACGCCGCCTGTGACGCAAGCCTCGCTCCACCCTTTCGAGACTCGTCATGATGCTTGTTGGTATGGGGATGTCATTCAGCCTTTTGCTGCGGGTGTTTTATACCCTCCTAGATATATATAGACCGTGCCGAGCAAAACCGCTTTTCCGAAGATGAGATGAGGAAGAGATACCGCTTTTATTCCTTGAGGAACACCTCGAAAGGGGAGGGTTCGAAAGACAGCCTATTGCCACAATTTGCAAAGAAGCATGCCACGAACTGTTACGGATGTCTCAACCTTTTTCTCCCTTCCTAATTCTTTCTCCCGGTTCAATGACTGATAAATCCTCGGAATAGGTCTTGTTTGCTTCCTAGGCGTAACATAAAGAGCGTGAAACTCGCCTCATGCACGCCAAATAAGATCGGAACGGGACAGAAGCCGAGCATATGTTCCTTCGAAGGAGGAACAAGCGGAGATCCATATACCCGTGGCCTATTTTCGGCGCCGCGTGGGCTGGCTTCACCCAACAACACTCTCACAGACTTCGGCATGTCAATGCTCCGTACCTCCACGACAGGAGCGAAAAAGCTCCCTGCCTCAAGGAGTATGAGACATCCAACCACTCCGCGAAGGTCATCCCGTCCTACGAGTCCTTGTAATTTACAGGCTCCTGCGTATACGTTCTCGTGTACCTCATGACCTTTAGAAGAAATCGATGATGCCATCGTAGCTGCCCATCTCTTGCCTCGGCTCTTCCATAACAACGTTGGTATACGGTGAGATCAATGAGGAGACATGAGGGATTAGTCTCCGGGGGAATGAGGACATTCTCTTCCTTGATGTCTTTGTTTGCAAGGGGATGAAGCTGATATGAGTGTCTTGTTGGAGAGGGAATATCGGGATTGTACACGAGCCGTGTTGACAACGGGAAACCTTTCATATAGCCTGTGTTAAGAAATATGTGTATGGTCGATAGGGTGGAATGAAATGAGATTGAATGTCTATTTTCATATGAGATTCTATGAGAATAACATTCTCAGATGGATCCTCAGAGGAGCCATCATAAAGACGAGTGTATTCGGTTGATTGGATTTTATGCATACGGTCCTTAATGATAGATCCACAAGTGCGAAAATGGATAGGATTTCCTTGCGCCAGTCCTTGCCTTCCTTCCAGTCAAGAGGGAAGGTGTTAATGGAGGTTGTTTTCAGAATAGGTAGTAGAACATATACGCAAATCTGCATCTGTTACATCTTACCGTGAGCCGAGTTCACTTCGGGTTGAGAATGAGATGGGTAAGATGATAAGTGAAAAAAAAGGAATGCTGGCACAATCCGCGCTTTAGGCCTCCATGATTATATGAAAATCTTGACATATTGCCATCCTTTGGTTGATACCGATACCTGGCAGCCTTTGAAGAAGTAAGGGACCAGAAACAGGCTGCACTGATGGCTTGCAGTTTGTAAAAGAATATTCACACTGAAGTTTACTGGGGTTGCTTCACTCCTTGACTCGCCCTTCACCCCACGACTCCACGCATTCAAGGACAAGGATATATAGCAGTCATCACTACCAGAGACTCAGAGAGTGCGCAAGTTTGTGTAAGCAATGTGGTCTGATTGCCGATGAGTTTTGGAACAGGTCAGCCTGAGAAAAAGGAAAAAGAAGACCGAAGAAAATGGACACTGGATCGTCTAGATTCTTTCAGGTCGAAGCGCCACCGAATGGGCGATTCTGTCCCCCTCGGCAAAGACAGTTTCCTTTTAAAACATGAGGTCCCCCATAGTCGTTGTGATTACTATCTCTTACAGGAGGCCACTGCAGGAAGCTTGATGATTCAGTGTTACTTGGCTGGTGAAAGATAGCAGTGAACAGATGCGACTGAGTTATTGCAGCAATGGGTTCCGGGTAATTTTTTTTAGTGAAGCTCAAAGGAATTCTGATGAGAGACGAAGAATGCGATAACAATATTCCCCTCCCTTTCCCAACATGAAAGAAGCAAAAGTGAATACATTGATGCCCCTAGGGTGGCGCCTTTTCTTGGACTGAAGATTCAAGCTTAAGTCTCCACTCCTGGAGCGCTTGCTTTTATTTATTAATTTTTTTCGCCTCAGCTTCTTATTTGTTTCCACCTCTACAAAAAAGTCGCCGTTTAGTTAAGGGCATTCTTTTCACGATGTACTGCAGTCAATAAGCTCTACTTCTACACAGGGTGCAGACTTGCAGTAAAAAGCTGTAAGCCTGCTTCCTGTGATGACTATATTACCTGCGTCCACGTGATGGCCGCATGTCTGAGGCAGACAGATCACTTCAAGTGACGCAGCACCTAATTATCGCCGTCACTCGTCTTGGATGAGTCTCAAGTGGCGTAGGGCACTGGGAATCGTAATGGAAGGTGGAGACATTGCGGCAGCAACGGCTCAATCTGTTGATAAAAAAAAACTCGATTTGGCCTCGGGCGTCCTACAGGCTGAAAATCCACACGATACAGCCTAGAACTTAATCGGATGACGTCATCTTGCACCGGAGTCTAAGCGCCGCTATGTTCAATAGGGCAGGCTAGCAAAAAAAAAAAAAAGCCCTCCCGGGGCTTTTACTCTCCTCCGTCTTGGCTCTTGGGCACATCGGGTGCCATCGCGGCGCTCTTTCGTATCACCATGGAACGGATTTTTATGCAACAAATCGAATTAAGTGCATACCTAAGAAATTTGGCTGAGAATGTGCCATGTGATCTAAATAATCACGAAAAGGGAAATTTGTTTGTAAACACACACTTTATGTCCATGGATGAAGTTGATTTTTTTTTACGTGTATATAGGAAAATATTGCCCGTATTTATCACAACTACTCTTTTGGACTGTTCATTTTGTTACGCCTCCTATCTTCCGCAACACTCGTTACCCTTTACTTGTTGCACAACCCTACCCTTTTCCCATTTCTCTCTTTATTTTCACCACTCTTCTAATCTAATACAAACGAATCATTTGCTTTCTTCTTCTCGACATTTAAAAACAAAGACTGGATTATCGTTTCTTAGCCTTGTTCGAAGCTATAGCAACTGGAATATATTATTACCCACCCGTAGAGAAAGCCAGGTAAGCATCGAGACCTGCGAGAGGGCAGGAACGGGTTATGACGTCATGAGCAAGCATCCACTCACTCCAAGGTTACTCGTCATCTGAAGGGAGCGGATTTCCATGGCACATTCCATGCCATCCGATTCCATCATCCTCTGTTGACTCAGGCAGTGTTGCCAGAATCGGCTTCACGTCGCTGAAATTGGTACATAATGATGCTCAGTGCGACACTTGCAGTTTCAGCCCATTGTGCCAAAATTTGGCTCCTATCGATGACATTCTATCGATGTTTTTTGATACCATGCTGGAATCCTTCATTTTTAGCCAGAAGTAGCAAACACGGATTCCGAGCTCCACGACAACACTGCACTTCCATAGACCAGGTTGAGCTCGTGACGTCATCGGTCACAGCCTCCACAGTAGTATCTCATCGTTTCCCTCTTGTCTTGGTATCAGATTGACGTGTTTGGTCGCTTGATTCACAGCATGTATTTTTTTGGCTGTTAACTTTTTGAATTCGAGATCCCAGCAACGGGATCTCAATCTGCGCACAAGTTTTTTTTTCCTCTCTCTTGCGGATCGCCTTCATTAGGCAGCTTACAAAAAAAGTAGCAGCTAGGTTGTTGTATCAAATATGCCAGTTTCGCAGCACTGGCTTCTGCCCCGTCTGTCTCCCCTAATGGACAAAAAGGAGACGTTGGGTATATGCGGGGGAAATAATGGGGCACTGAATGATGGGTACCTGAAGTTGTATGGCTTATTGTTACTCTGCACCTGCGTCATGGTTTTCTGGCTGTTACCCTTATCATTCTGTGTCACATCGGTAATATATATTGGTATGTGTGTGTTGGACATTCAGGAAGTTTTCCAGCGGGTCGTTCTGTATCTTTGACCCCGGGGGCCCTATTGGAAGGAGGGAAACAGGTGCGACGGAACAGCATGCAGAGTAGGGCGAGCACGTCGAGCCTCATTGAGCCTGGCACTATCCCCATGCCTAGGTCACAGCCCGCAACCCCCCGGTGAGACATCCTTTTGTATGTGTTATTCCAAAAACAGCAGTATAGAAACAAGGGAACCGGAGAATTTGAAAAGTTCTGCATGGTATTCCAAAAACGCCTAGACATTTTTCTTGGAATGGTGCTTTGGGAGTGTGAAGTGTGGTGAAATTGAGGAACTCATTAGAAAAGAAAAACCCTTGTGATAGGTTACTTAGGAAGCTCTCAGAGGAAAATAATATAATGGGATTACCTTCTGTGGTAGGTCTCAAACTCTGACACCTCACAAGTACAAGAAGGGAGATGTAGTCCATACTCCAAATGGAATAAGGAAGAAGTTCAATGGGAAGCAATGGAGACGTCTCTGCTCGAAGGAGAACTGTACAAAAGAGTCTCAGAGAAGGGGCTTTTGCTCCCGGCATTTAAGTATGAAGGGCAAAAGCCTAAGAGACGTGTCAGGCTCTTCTTCATCAGGGACTACTGGAGCTGGACAGGGGAACCGTTCCATTGTCTTCTCTGGAAGGTAAACTTGATAGCTTGATTATCATTGCATTCCTAGAAGGTGGCTGTTGTATTATTGGGATTTATTATAACATCTTATTGGGAATCACAGGCGAAAAGGGATCCTAGATGAGAAAGGTGAAATGGAATGGGAGGCTGAAACAAGTTCAGCAAGTGAAACTCCTCAGATAAACCAAGGTGTTCCTAGTACAAATCTGGGTCAACCCAGGCTCACACGGAGATTTGATCAAGATGAGACAGAGGCAGCAAATCTTCTTGGTATGTTTCTGCAGGCTCATTTTCCATTTATTTATTTGGATTTTAAATTCTCATGGTTGTTTTTTTCGTTCTTGTCAGTGTCATTGGGTAATAGTCGTTCAGGGACACCAGCAGGTCACATATCTTCAACCCCAGTCAGCCCTTCTCCAATGCATTCCCCAGTTTCTCTACCTGTCCCTCACCAGAATATGTTCCTACCCATTTCCCAATCCCAGTCTCAACAAGCACCTGCCAGTCAGAGGTGGTCTCAGGATGGAATGGCATCTCCAGTTCGCTATCAGGTTTCATCTCATGGCCACAACCATCTCTATCACAAAGGGGTTATTCGGTTAGTATGTTCTCCACATGAACTTTGTGAGGACTGAGTGTATATATTTGAATGTGTTGGGTTTTGAAATTATTCTGTGGTGCTTGCTATGCAGTCCAGAGCTGGTGCCACCAACTCAGATGTTGTCGGATGTGAGACATCATGGGTCACGAGCATCCTCATCTACATCAACTGTGTTCTCAGTTCCAACGGTGATCCAAGGATCTCGATGCCGTGAAAGGGAGCGAGAACGAATCCCCACTCAACATAACACTGTGATCCATCAAGTGAAGCCAAAATTGCCACCTCCACCCTTGGCATCACCTCCTCAGCCCATTCTGCAGAAAGCATTGCTTGGCTCCAGTTATGCTATTCATGGAAAACAAGACTCCTGCTCTCTTCCCCCACCTACCCAAGATGCCCCCATGGATTTACAGACTGCCAAGCCCCTTTCTGGATCCTTCTCCAATCGAGGATCTGTGTCAAATGTGATCAATTCAGAAGCTCGAGGCTTTCAAGCTGTTGTCCCATGTATTGAGGAGCCAGCATCCACCATCCCAATTTCTCTTGTCATCCAACCTCACAGTGGGAATGAGCACCAAGGGAGTTCAAATGATCAAGTAGCTGAGATGAGAGAACCTTCTCAATCTTCAATAGTTGGAGAAACTTACCAGTCAGGTAATTTTTCTCTTTTTGGTTACCATTATGAGTTGCTCTAGCCTTGTGAACATATAATTTTCCATTCCCAGGAGGAGTATGCCTCATTATGCAGCTATGATTCAATGCTATTGGTACATCTATTGGTAAACTTTTTATACCTGTATGCCCCTCTTGATGGCTTAGGGGTTTTCTTGAATATCTTTTCATCATTTTGCAAAAGTGACATAAAAGGGATCTGTAAGGATACAACATATCAGAATGTAGGAAGTCAGTGTATCCATATCCCATATCAGGAACATGTGGTAAAGATTAAGGTTAACCTTATACTAGGCCATCATTGCCAACCTCTCCTTTGCCCTTTATGGCCATTTTGGCTAGACTTAATAGAAAACAGCATACAGACCTTAGCAGACCCACAGAACCCTTAGGCATTTGCATTTCCAATCTGCCATGTGTTCTTTTCTTCTCTTTTTTTGTTGTTGAGGAAAGTCCAACTCCATGCACTTTACAGCAGTGCAACTTATGCAGCTTGCACTGCATGTCAGCTATATATGGTTCTCTGAGGCTCAGTATGAAGGAGTCAAAATTGACTGAAACTAATTGTTCTGATTACAATCACATTGTATCAACGGTAGGAGAAGGTGTAGTACAGCTCTTTATTTGAAATATCAACTCTTTTGCTTTTGTTCACATTCTATGGCATGCATAGCACAGCAAACCTCCACTGCTGGCTAGGAGAGGTTGACTGAGCATTTAAATCCTCGGCAGTCAACGTATTAAGGAGAAAGGAGACATGGACTCACTTCAGTATTGCTGGCATGCTAATTCAGTTGCTACTCCTACGTTGTGTGATTTCCGCCTCAATATTGAATGGTTTATGCAAGGAAGTTCAATCACCTGTAGAAATAGTTACTGTATAATGGGTTATCTACCATATGTTGTAGTCATTTTTCTTAAATGAAATCAGTAAATTGACATTAAGTTCCATAGAAGTTTGACAATGATATATTCCCTGTGTTGTCTTTGTTGAAGTTTGCTATGTTCAACCTGTTCATATTCAAACATTTGATATCTTCTGATGAACTGTTGATTATCATCAACCATCACGACTTGTCTGGTCAATGAGTTTCATAGATGCTAAATTTGGATTTGATAATATTTGATAGATATGAGAAGCCTAGCTTGTCCCTTCTGATAAGTTGTGGGTAGATGTTATAGGGGGTAAAAGTCATCAAGTAAGCTTAAGGACATTGCAGAAATATTTAATCTTTTACATGGTATCAGCAGGCTTCATGGGAGAAGTTATATCTTACAATTCAATTTATCTCATTTCAACTGTCAGTGTCAATCTTGCAATTATTCAAAATCCTAAGTTAGAATTAATTCTGTATATGAGATTTAGAATGAGTATGTCATAAAAACACTATTGACAAATGGTTCATTCCATCACTTGGCCTAGCCAATTTATTCTTATGGTACAGGTTGTCCATATATGGTATTGTCACATCCTCATCACTATTTATCTGTATAGTAGACACACCAGTCATGAGTGAATTTCTAAGGGGTGACCCATGTGTCCTACCACATCCTTGCTGTTAAACATGTTATGCTGATACTTGGAACCTTGCCAAGTTTTCTTTTTTCTGGAAACCAGTTTCTTACACATGCATAAATATATGTAGCCTGGCCTATAGTTGGAGTACTTGTCATTCGTCTCATGTGACCCTGCCTCTTTTTGTATTGACAGCATTCTTTCATCCTGCTGCACCTGGTCCACCAGTGGCTTGGACAAGAGGTTACAATCCCCAGTCTGAGAGTCATAAGAAGCAATCTTATTCTCCTGCTACATCACAACCTCTTCCATCTACTCCCCATTATACTCTTGTTCAACAACAGTCAAGCCATGCACCTCATCTGCAGCACCAACAGGGATCATCTTATTCAGTACCTTCACATGCAGATGTGGCAGCACAGAATCATCAGCCTCAGCAGAAGGAACTACAGCAGCAGCAACATCAACAGCAACAGCAACAAGATCAGAATGTTACCGAACAGCACACAGTTCCAGTGCAGTTGGTAATCAGTCGGTCTCCTCATAAACGCTGCCTCACAGATATTCATGATGATGAGACTATCGACTTGGAAGAAATGGGATATGGTGATGAGGACGATGATGTATTTGAAAGCCCAGATGGTAATTCTTCAGGTCAAAATGAGTCTGAATTATCTGAGAAGGAAAAACGGAGGTCTCATTCTCTGAGCTCCCTCCCTCTTGCTTCCAAAGATGAACTGAAGAGTCCTCGCAAGGTTTGTTTCCACATTGTATTCCTCTCTCTCTTCCTTTTGTCACATGGCATGGCAGTCAGTTTCTGCTACTGCTGGGTCCTTGTAGGTGAAGGAAAAAGAACACATCCGGAGACCAATGAATGCATTCATGATTTTCTCCAAACGACACCGACCTCTTGTTCATCGGAGACACCCCAATCAGGACAATAGGACTGTATCAAAAATCTTGGGAGAGTGGTGGTATGCCTTGGGTCCCGATGAGAAAAAGAAATATCATGATCTGGCATCCCAGGTGGGTCATGTTTTTCTTTCTCAAAGCAACAACACATTGCTAAAGTCCTTTTTTTTTGTCCCTCTCTTTTCTGCATATCTGTTTTCATGTTTTCAGGTGAAAGAGGCTCACTACAAGGCCCATCCAGATTGGAAGTGGTGTAGTAAAGACAGGAGAAAGAGCTCTTCTGGCTCAAGCAAGGGGATTGGGGACAAGGGAGCAGGAGGTGTTGAAGACTGTTTTTCAGGTTTGCTATTATTGTATTTGTTTAATTTTACAGTACCTAGGAAGATTCACCTGAGAAACACTTGTTCTTAGTTAAAAAAGCAGCCAATGGTGCTGAAACATCCATGTGATATTTGATTTGGATTTTGGCACTATGCAGGTGATGGGGATCCAGGACAAGAGGATGGAACTCAGGGTGACATGAACATCGAAGAAGCAAGCCGCCTCTATCCAAACATGCAGGCATATCAGCCTGTCTCTCCTGGGAATCATGTTAACCATGATCTAGCTAATGATGCAAATGCTGTGCAAAGGCATCATGGAAAGGTACATTTATTGTAGATTGTTCTTTTCTTTCAAAGTACTTCTCATAAATTTCATTAAGTCATGCCATCATGCCAAGCTCTGAATACAAGGGATTTCTCTTTAGGGAGGAGAGGGTCAATATGAGTCAAGTGAAGGTGATATAGATCTGAAGTGCAAGGAAGAAGTGAGTGATTCAGATGTGGAGAGTGTGGTTGAGGATCAAGGTGGAAGGAATCAAGGCCATGTGGGGTCTCAGGCCTCAAATCATACACATCACAAGCAACCACGCTTTAGCCCTCTCCCCAGTCCCACAGTTCAAGCACATAAGCCCACTCCCATCAAACCTAGGCATGTTCTCATGTTGTCTTTTTGCCTCACCTCATGTCATGTTGCCTTACCTCAATGATGGTGTTGTTCTGTTTAGAATGGTGCTGCCATCTGAAGCAGGGGCTCATTTCTCTCCATCATCCAATGATGCATTCCCACCCTCATCCCCACGCCTCACACCTTCAGTGAATTCTGGTTTTACACCTGTGAGGACCCAAGACATCCAACCTCTTCGACCCACTCGTCCAACATCTGGAATTCAGGTGATCAGTAACACTGCTTCTCCAGCTGGTACACACCAGACTGTTCTAAAGACCAATCACGTGAAGACAATCCACAATGTTCAGTGTGTGACATCTCAAGACAAGAAACATGTGAAAGTGGACTACAAGTCAATCAGCTTGGGACAGGCTTCCCCTGTGCAACACCATCAGCAGTCCAACACCCCTCCAACAACTCTTCAGACTTATACTTTGACTAATTTGTCACTGCCACATGGGTCCCAGTCATCAGGTTCCAAGTGTCCCACTATCCTGGTCCAGGCTCCCGTCATACCCTCTTCAGGAGGAGCTGTTTTGACTAATTTCTTGGCCTTGCGACCTTCAACTCAACATACCAACTCCTCTGGTCAGGTCCAGACTGTTGGAGCAAAGGGAATGCCATTTCAATATCTTGTGCCTCAGTTTGTCAGTGGGAATCGTATGGCCATTCTACCCAGTGCCAGTTACCAGATGGCAGTCTCATGTGAGCTGATGTTTCATAAAATTTTATGTCTTCTCCTCCAATTGAAAATGCTTTGACTGAAATGGTTTTGTTATGGATTTCAGCTCAGTCATCATCAACAGTAGGAGGTCAAAGTGCTGGATCTCAAGCTCAAGGAGTACAAAAACCATCCAACAATCATCCAGCTCTTCACTTGCCACCACGTTCTCCATCACATATTCATTCATCCTCCCCAAACTCATCAAGGTTCATCCCAGCTTTTTTTCTTGACATTCTCTGAAGTTGCATCTTTAACTGTTCCATTGATTTACAATGCTAATCCTGTATTACTTCCATGCTTAGTTTGGTTGAAGAAAGAGGCACTCCAGACAAGAGCCCAAAGCAGTCATCTTCCTCAAATGATGGTATGACATGATCAAATTCTTTTGTGCTTTGATTGTTCAGACTCTTCCTTGGAGATGAACAGATGAGTCAGCATGGCATTTTATTTTCTTCCCAGGAACTGGGAAGAACGGGCTATCTCGGACTCAGGAGGGCATGGGCCATCAGTATCGAGTGAAAGCTTCCATTGTCACAATTCCGTCTGCTGACAATGACCTATCTCATGTAGGTTCTCATTGTTGTCTGAAGAGCATTCTAGAATTGGGAAAACAGAGGTTAGCATAGTATCCTTACTTGTGTTATTCCTTGCAGAAGGGAGATGATGGAAGGAATAGAAGTGAGGGGCATAACACTCTCATGCCTCCTCCAATGGATGGAGTGAACTTTGTTCTTGCCCCAACACCAGCCCAGCTGGGGAAGGCACCCTTGCAAAGACGCACTGCAGCCGCTGCATCACAACATGGTCATGCTTCACCTACATCTTCAGGAACACCTTCTTCCCTCTCACCAAGTATGATCACTTTATCATCATCAATATTAAACGCTACATGATGCATCGACAAATTGCCCTTATTATTATTCCTTTTTTTCAGACAGTGCAGCTCTGACTGGTGAACAGCTGAGTCCTGGGGGTATGCCATCCTCACCAAGGCTCACCATCCCTCCCTCACCCACACGTTCAAAATCTAAGAAGGTGGATGAAACCACTGAAAAGTAAGGAAAATCCATACAGTGCTCAAAACTAAAATTATACTGACACTATGGACTGAAGTAAAGCTGAAGCTGCTAGTGTGATAACAGTGGAAAAGAAGTGCCTGGATGTGGTGGGAAAATAAGCTTAATTTAAATTGAGAGGTATCCAGGTTGATATGACAGTGTATTCCATTAGAACTTATTTATTCCATCATATCCCCATTTCTGAGGAGGAGGCATAGTGCCTTATTCACACTGTCATCTCTCATGGTATTGACTTTCAAGAAAGTGAGGCATATAGAATTATCCTTTTTCTTATATGGATTCTTTCAGGGTTTTACAGCAGGTGAATTTTGATGAGAAATTCAACTCTCTCCCTGAGTATAAGCCAGAAAATTTACATAGCCCAAGCACTTTATCTCTTCCCCCTTCACCACGTCTCTTTGTCCAGAGTTATCGAAAGAAGCAGAAAACTCTTGGTGAGAATCAACTTCATTCACATTACTTGAACATGAACAGTGTTGTATAATTCTAATATGGATGCCTCCCCCTACAGCTGTGCCAACTGAAGAAGAAAGTGGGGAAGCAACTTCCCCATCTAGTGTCAAACGTCCTCGTTCTGATGGAGAATCCAGTGCTTCACAATTCACTCCTCATTCACCCACAACCCCTCCATCTGCCAAGCTTGTTGGCAATACCTTTTTTGGACCAGATTTCAACATAGAAGCTGTTGAAGGTGAGGAAATAACAAGTTTGGGCTATTCTAGATTGCCTCTGCTTTGTTGGGATAAGAGATGTAATTGTATCAAATTTGTCCTGAATCTGGCATGATGTTCCAATGAAGTTCTGGGATCTGTTTACAGGAACTGATATTTCCTTTTCCAAATATTCTGTGTAACATAGGTCATATTGGATTGGGTGAGCTTAGCTCACTTAATGTGAACAGGAACAAGATTGAAAAACTGGCAAAAAAATAACTATGACATTTATAAAAGATGCTTGATCTGATTCATTTTTCACTTAAAGTAAAACCTATTATTATTTATTACAAGTATTGGTTATCTACAGAGCCTCCACACCCTGTAATGCTGATGTATTTTGGTTTTTGCTTTGTAGAAAAATCAGATTACATCTTCAGTCTTGTTGACTCTATATTCACTGTAGGTGGAGAGTATGGTGAGGGAACAGGTGGAACATCTCCAAATGCAGTTGGACAAGGACATGTGACTCACACAAATGCAGGAGGAAGTCCCCGCACCCCCCGTACCCCTCGAGATGGTGGTTCCAGCCTTCGACGAATCCTTGATACTCGAAGACATCTAGTCATGCAGCTCTTCCAGGAACATGGCTTTTTCCCCACATGTATGCCCTTTAAAGATTCCTCATTCAACACAGAAAATAATTTTTGAATTTTGAACTCATCCCAGGATATTCTTCCATTACAGCTCAGGCAACATCATCTTTTCAACAGCGTCACCTTGATGTGTTCCCTAGCAAAGCATGTTTACAGCTTAAGATCAGGGAAGTTCGTCAGAGATTGTTGAGTCAGGGAGGAAGTGCCATGACTCCAACTGGATCTGGAGAAACCTCATCTTCCAGTGCATCAGTCACAACCACTACGAGAGCAAATCCAATCTCTGAGGACATACTTCCCAGTTCTGGTGTCAGAGGTAAGATATTGACTTCTTCATGCTTTTCTAAGGATGTGTTTTGTGTAGCTTTCCTTTTTACTTAACATTTTATCAGCAGTTTCTTCATTCTTCTCAGGAGGTATGCCAGTATCAAGTTCTCCAGCTCATGGAACCGTATAGGATGGACGAGGCCATTCCACATCAAGGTACAAAGAAACTTTGGGGATGGGATTGCCCTTTTCCCTCTATCCCGACTGGGTGTCTTTCTTTTGTTTTTTTTTTTAAAGTTATTTTTCCCTCATTCATGTGCTTGCAAGGCCTCCCAGGAGATGCCAGGGGCATTTGGAAGATCATGCCTGTTTTCTTTGGAACTTCTGTTTTGTATCATGGGAGCACAGCATTGTGTTGTTCATCTTTTCATGATCTGTGTGTCTCCAAGACACGTGAAGGTGCCCAAATATCCCTTCTATTACTGTATCTGTGATAGTCTTTCCTCACAAAATTGAGGACTCAAAGATGACAATGTTAGCCGGCGGCTTTACTTCCCTTCTCCCCTCTCTTCCTCCTGTGTAAATACAAATCCAGGGCGTGTGTATGAAAGTCATATTTTATTGTGAGCATAAATTATTGGTTTTTCTCTTTCTCATCTGTCTCTTTATCATTCTCTCTGACATGTATGGGCTAAGAGACATGAAACCTCTTCACAGGTGAAATAATTGTCTGGGTTCCAAGTCCTTGTCTGCCTATGAATGGTTGCAGCCTTCCTGTTTCTTGGTTTCAGATTTGTACCTCTAAATATTGTCTGGCATTTGGGAAATGGATGTGAGGACTAGTGTGTGTGGTGTGACCAGGATATGAGAGCTGATGTTGACCAGCCTAATGATGTTGAAGCTTTTTCAAGGGTACATGAACCCTAGAACTGCTTGATGGAGCTCCCTGCCAGGAATTCCCCTGTTTTGCCATTTAATGAGGTCCTTTTTTTATTTTTGAACTTTGTGATGCCTCATATCGAGATCCATACCTTATCTCCTTTCAATTTTCTTGACTTCTGATTTGTGATTTTTGAGAATTTTTGGAGCTCAACTTTGTTTGCTGATGTCTCCTATTGTCTTTGGTAAGTCGCCGTGACGTTCATCAGTTGTGTTTCTTCACTCTGTAGAGGGCTCGATCCAGAATGTACAAAGATGCTTGCGTGTCTATTTAAACGTGATCGCACGCACTCAGAGGTTCTATGAAGAAGTGACGTAGTTTCTTTGGTGCCAATGTGTAATCATGCTCATTCTGGCATTGGAAAAAACAAAAAGGATTATTTTTCATCACATGCATTTTGCTTCTTTTCATACTCCTCACAACTACACCACTCAATAAGCTGCAATAAACTGCAAATATTAGAAGAACCCATTTTCAGAATGCTTGAGGTCACATTTTTTTATCACAATCAGTTCAGAATGTAGTCACATTATTCTTTAGGGAGAGTTTCAATTGTTAACACAAAATGAGCTGAGTCCCTTCCAGTACACATTGTTGTAATTGGAAATAAGCATGTGCACATGCAGTACAAGTCTTTAAATTTTGATTTTTCTCAAACACATCCCAATGTGCACCTGATTTTTTGGAAATTTGTATTTTTTTTTGCATATTGTGAGAGCTTCACTCAGTGGAGCTCTTCAAAAAGTTCAATCGCATCAGTTATGGTTGGAGAAGGGAAGACTGGGAGGTTCACCAATCATTCTTATCAGCCTTCCCCCCCAAAAAGAACTTACTTGAGAAGTCATCTTTCCACAGTGTGTGACCACTCAAACATCTGAGTGTGGTGGCATGTTCAGGATCTATTTGGCGATTTCTTCGACTCAAGCATCCCAAACTTCAGGCAATATGTCTCAGTTAATAACTTCTGTTTCACAACTCAGTGGTATTACTTTAAATGCATATTACTTTGCATTCGTAATTTATAAACTATAAGACCCTTTATGTTCCCGATTCAAAATAAAAGCTAAGTGTGAATTCCTACGTGGCATTGGTAGTTCAAAGATGACCGAAATTCTCCAGGGAATCTCGCCTCTCAGCTCGATCTGCTTTGGAATTCATCATCCTTGAAGGACGCAGTGGCTGAGTGGGAAGACGTGTAAAAGACACGAGAAAGGGAAATTGAGGTTCTTTGAATTAGTTGTCTCCAAAAACCGAGGAATTTTCGACTTGCGCTTGTGAGGGTTATACATTTCTGTAATTATTATTATATCAATTTCAAGTACTTTTAAAATGCAAAAGTGCTTTAGATAAAAAAAAGGAAGTGCCATCCGTAAAAAATTAACTTTTACACCTTCAGCTGTTGAAGTTGCTCGAATTTTTCTGCTATCAGGCACATTTTAAGTGTTCTTTTTTTTATGAACCAAGTACCAAAGTGTATTACGTTACAGTACGATAAGTAAGTACAGTACAATTTTTTCGGCAAATTTTTTATGTTCTGTATCGTCTCTCCCACGTATCACCGGATTGGGATGGGATCCATGCATCTTGCATTGCTCAGTTTCCTTATTGGGTAGCACCTTCGTACAAGTATTGAAGATAAGATTATGGTGCTGGAAACAGCGTCAACGCCAGGTTCATGCTGAGTCACGACACCGGAACTTCGCATTAACAACTCCAAGATGAAGTGCGGTAGAACGTTGAAATCATGCCAGAAAAATCGCCATACCTTTTTAAGGAAAGAATTTCAGCTCTTTTCTCGTCATCACAGCAGCTAAATTCTGTCTCGAAAGTATCTGAAGTTCGCTAGCGTGATATAAGGCACAAGAAGCTGGGCAAGGTGTAAGAGAGGCGCAATTGCATGGCAACCCTGTTTCTCTTCATTGCGCAATGGCGTCTCCCTCCTTGTAGGGAAGTCACTCTTGTTTTTCGCAGTTTTGACTTGTCGATGTTCACTTAACTTCTTTTCTCCTCCAATCTCCATTCCCTTTCTGGTGAAGCCAGTAGGTTTTGAATGCGACTTCTTAGTGTTATCTTGAGCGTTAGATTACTCGCATCTGAACGGAAGATCCCAGAAATTCACAAGTACTCACTTCCGCAGGGGCCTATCTTATCCGCTGCTGATAAGATATTCGAAGGCTTTCGTGATGTTTACCTCCGACAATGACCGTGGATCAAAACCCGTCTCCTCTTAGTCGAGCCAGACTTGTTGAAAGAGTGAGTGCAAGTCTGTTTCCTTTCTTATTTACTTTTTGATTCTGGCAGATTTATCATTATGGCCCAGGACCATAAGCCTGTTTGTTATTACCCTATGCCTGTAGTCATATGAATGTGCTTGACGAAAGAGTATGTAACATTAGCTACTCACGACTAAAAACATCCCAAATGAGGTTTTCTTCACTTAGAAGGGTAGCAAGGAAATGCAAAAAAAAGAGAATTGTGAAGTTGGACAGTCAGACAGTAAGCATGAGAAGCATCGATCTGCATGCCTCCCTGTATGAGAGTGCACCTTTGAGGTGAGTGAGGAAATTTGAGGAAGTGTTAAACTGTTAGCAAATCATTTTGGCAATTTATAATGTATGGTGATGCTTTGGCAAATGATGCTTGCATGATTTTTACATCGAGATCAAGTATGTAAGGATAAATAAATTTTTTATAGGGGGGGCAGTTTCCAAGTTCCTACTTACCCCCCCCCCCCCTGCCTACCACCATTCCTTGTCCTTTCGCCTTTTTATGTTTGGCTGGAGTAAGAACTTGAGTATCTATTTCACTGACTCCAATAAAATTTAATGCAGATGCTATTTTGAATAAATAAATCAAATGCTAACCTGGCCACAGGAGAGGACAACCTGTATGCAAGTTCCCATATTGCTGAATCTCATGCACAAACGATTCAATAAAGTTTTTGAGAGAATTTAAGATGTATTAGTATTTCATTTGTAAGTAAAAGTAAGGTCTGTTATTCCTAGTTAGGCGAGAGAGGAGGAGTGTTCCCACATGAAAGTTTCATATTAGACCATCTTATAAGAATGAAAATATATGTTCCTTCATATTTTCATATATTAGCTCATACAAATGCACCATATATGCCATGTCATATTATTTTCATATATGGAGCCATACATATATTTAGGCAGTCTGACATACTGTACAGGGTGGACCAGAAGTAAGGAAACACGTTTGAACTCCTACAAAACTTTTATTTAAAAGCTATGGTATCTGGCTGCGATACACACAAAAACACATGTTTATGAAGTATTTATAGCCATAAAGCATTTCACAAAAACTGCTCAATGTGCCCACTGTTCAAGTCTTTGCACAACTTCAGTCTTACTGGTAGTGATGAGAAACAAACTTGTTGGCATGACTCCACTGGAAAGCTCTGCTTTGTGGCAACGATAGTGTCCTTTAGTGCTGGAAGAGTCCGAGATTTCATCACACAATTGAACCCCATAAAAAGAAGTCAGCTGGAGTTAAGCCCAGACACCATGCCAGTCAATCAATCAGCCTGTGCCGCCTGATCCATTGACTACGAAAAATTTGTCCAAGAAATCCCGAATCTGGTTAGCATCATGAGCACCATCTTGCCTTAAGAAGATTCCCTCAATTCATTTGAAATGCCATGGTAGGAATGATTTTTTCATTCAGCTTTCCAAGATAGCTGTCTGCTATCTTCATTCAAGATGGTGCTCTAGCCTAATACTCCCACCACATTCATGACTTCTTGGACAAAACACATCATATTTTGCACAAAAGGACACTATTGTTGCCATAAAGCAGAACTTTCCAGTGGAGTTATGCCAGCAAGTTTGCCTATCACTACCAGTGAGACTGCAGTTGTGCAAAGACTTGAACAGTGGACACATTGAGCAGTTTTTGTGAAATACTTTATGGCTCTCAATGCTTCCTCAACATGTGCTTTTGTGTGTATCACTGCCAGGTTCCATTGCTTTTAAATAAAAGTTTGTAGGAGTTGAAATGTGTTTCCTTACTTCTGGCCCACCCTGTATATGGGATTTGACACAAGTCACATAAAATCATATAAGAATGGAAATATATGACCCCATACATTTTCATATATTGGCTGATACAAATGTACCATATACTGTCTATATATGCCATGTCATATCTGTGTATGGTGAGGTTACCCATAACATGCCTGTATCCAATAAGGGTCCATAATCCATCAAATACTGTATAATCATTCATATGCAAGTTGCCATACTTGCAATCAGCTCATTTTTAATTGTTCATAGACCATAGTCAATTACTCCAAGAACTCATATTTCATGGTGTTCAACATATGCACCCTTGTTAATAAAGGTGAAAGTTTTAATATACTTTAACCTTCACAAGTATTTTCAGCAGTAATTCTGCTTCATGACAAAACTTGGCTTACTCATGTAGGAGTGTTTTTTCATTTTGACTGACAACTCACAAGATACAGGATGTTCAAAAAGTCAGTGTGCAGTAGAATTCATTTATTTTGTTGCATGTTTTTAGTATTGTACTGCATATCACATGTATTGCATCATCAAAGACATGTATTTCCACTCAATACTTAATCAAATATTAGTACCATCCCTGATTCACATAATTTCTTGTCTGTAATTCCTAGCTACAGTGAGGCCTCCTATGTCATGTCATGAATTCTACTGCACAATGACTTCAAACACCCTGTAGATGGGAACAAAAACTGTATTTCTTTCTGAAATAATCCAATGAAGGAATTTTTCAATGAAGGCATCTCACAGCATGGCACAGCATATGCCCCCCACTTTACAACAAAAAAAATGCATTAATACAAAGGAAAAGATGCATGATAACAGTGTCCCAGAGTTCCTGTGCCCCTCTCCTCCCACACTTTTTTCATCTGCATTATGCTTATGCTACCTGGGGAAGGTTGGGCCCAGTTTGAAATCCCAACTGAAATTTTCTTGCTGGACAGAAGCTGTATATTTGAACCATTTCCAGCTGACAAAGCTGAAAAATTGTAGATGCAGGTTGTTTTACAGCTGGAAATTTTCAGTTAAAATTTTATACAGATGACCCTCCAGTTGGAATAGAGCTGAATTTACAGTTGAAATTCAGCTGCTTCTGTAGATGGACCTCCAGCAAGAATAGCCAACAAGAACATTCTCATTCCACCAGTGTATTGCAACTAGGAACAATCTGGATCTGACTTTACTTTCTAGCTGCTACCAAGTTTGAATGGGTCTGAATTTCCAACTGGAGTCCTTCTGGAACAGCTATAATAGCTGTTTCCAACTAGGATTTTAAGCTGGGGGGATTCAAAATCAAACTTTTGGCAAATTACTCTGCAGGTTATGCATAGCTAATATTTCATGTAAAATATACTGGGTCCAATAAAAATTAGTTGCAGAGGCATCTGAAGGTCCATTGCCCTCATGTGACCTCATGCAGTGGCATATTTTACAAGGAGAGGGCAGGGGAGTGCAGCTGCCCCCCCTTACATCCCTGGGACAGGGCTTGGCACCCCCCCACTCTGCTGCCCTCTCCCCCTTGATTCTTCAGCCAAAATACACCACTGACCTCAAGCTATGTTTTACTTACAACTATAAGACTTGTCTATTGGATATTCACCACATATCAGACATGATGCCATTTGCCCATCACGCTTAATATTCCAATGCAAGTAAAATATATTATACACCATACATTTGTTAATATATGAATACCTATATGGTGGTATATGGCAAATACAGGCTCTTGCATAACCTTTTGCTAGGGGGGTACAACCTTAAGTACAAATAGAAGAATTGTAAGTTATATATCAATTTAAACCTTTATTCAACCTGAATTCAGTAATGCATCAGTATTTTGTGTGACTGCCATTGGTTTTATATACAGCCCTCAAATGTTGAGGGTATAATTTCAACAAATTTTCAAAAGTTATGTTTCATTTTCCATTTAATGAATAACATTTTGGAAGTTTTATGGGACAACTGCTTCAGAATTTTGGTCAGAACCAAGCTCACTAATCATCATACTTTCTATTTTTTCCTTAAGGCCTTTATTGATACAGTATTGTCATCTGATTAACTTTCCATACCTCTGAAATTATTTTTGCAACTCAACCACAGCTTTTTCTCTTTGTCTTTTCCTACTGTTCTCCATCACAATGCTCACTTCAGACAATTTTTCTGGCCTGCTATCATCAGATTTTGTAAAACTAGAGTTGTATCATGTTCCAGTTGTTAGTAACTCAATTTCTTACTGCAATTCAGTGGTGAGATATTCACTTGTGATTGATGAACATTGCACCTGCTTCCCTTGCTTCTCAATAGGCATATATCGCTAACCTCCCCAGCAATTATAGTTTTTTATGACAAATATGAAATGAGAGTAAAAGAAGCTTTAAAAATATATATATAACACTCATTTTTTCTACTCCATAATTGCTTTACTCCCCTAGCAAAAGGTTATGGAAGACCCTGTATATGATCATACATGACCATATAGAATCATACACCATATGGAATTTTCACGTGGGTTGTCATACTAACCAACAAGCTCCATCATTTCAAGAATTCTCTAATGTGTGTTCAACTATGAACTCATTCCCTACATACTATTAATTTATTATGGATGAAATAAGTGAGCCTTTCCCGAACAAGTTTTTACACGTCTTCATTATAGTATAAGTTTTTGACAATTGTCATCTATGTCAGTGGCATATCCCATGTGGAAATTCTGTATATGACAGGGTGTATGTTTCTATGTGGCCACATAAGATCATATATTTGCAATATACCACCACATATGTATTCATATATTTTCAATTGTATGGTATATAATATATATTATCTGTAATACAATAGCAAAAGTTATGGGCTAATGACATCATGTCTGACATGTGGTGAATATCCACAGGCAAGTCTTATGGTTGTTAGTGAATGCATCATGAGGTCAGTGGGCCAGAGGCAGTAGGGCAGCCAAGGGGGAGGAGTCCTCAAACCCTACCCAGGTGATATTGAGGGAGAAAAATCATACCTCCAAGGGGGTATCAAGCTCCATCCCAGGGGATGCCAGAGGGGAAGGGGGTGGCATCTGCACTCCCTACTGCCACTGCATGAGGTTTTTACATGAAGGCCATGACCTTCTGATGCCTCTGCAAGTAATGTTTTATTTACCCATTATGTTGAACATAAAAAATTAACTATGTATAACCTGTAAAGTAACTTCCCAAAATATTTATTTCAAACCCCTACCCTCCCTAGACAGCAAAAGTGTATTGAGGATGAAAAAAGTGGGGGGGGGGGGGGGGGGGGGGGGGGGGGGGGGCGGGGGGGGGCAGGGGGGGGGGGGGGGAGGGGGGGGGGGGGGGGGGGGGGGGGGCATGGGAACTCTAGGGCAGCAGTGTGTAAACTTTTCAGTTCCCCCTTTTCATCCACATATTCTGTTGCATCCCTCTATTCCCCTCCCTCCCCCTTCCATCACTGGTTCCATCTCATCAGAAACTGACTGAAATTTCAAGGAAGTTGGTATGAAAAAGGAAAAATGAATATATGGATTATGTACCTTTTTAGGATGTGGGTATTTGTCAGGCATTCTCACCATATGTAGACATGTTTAACTTCATATATGGGGCCATATATTTTCATTCTTATATGATTTTATGTGACCTGTGTCAAACCCCATATATGGTCATATAGGAATTGCACTATATGTTCATATATGTCCCTTATATGTTAGACTGGCTAAATATATGACCATTTCATATGAGGTGTGATCAAAAAGTTCTAAGACTTTTTTATGACGCTGTGGTGACTCTTTCCAACTGCTGATGGTTATATCCTTTAAACTAGTCCTCTTCAGCATCTACACAAATTTTCCATTGTTTCTCAACCATTGGAAGCATTGCTGACACTCATCTTTTTGGAATCACCAGCAGCTCTTGTTTCGCTTTTGCAATTTTGCTTTGAATGCCTGAAATCTGTGATATAACTACCAGCAGTCTGAAAGAGTCACCACAGCGTCATAAAAAATTAAGTCTTAGAACTTTTTGATCACACCTCGTATATGGTCTTATATGATATTTTTACATAGGATAGTGCTTGAAGCAACAGTGTGACATTCTGTATCTTTGCTTCTAGCATGAGTTGACCCTTATCGTAGTAAAAAATATTAGTAATCAGTAGGGCTGTCATGATGGCAGTACTGAAATATTTGGGCAGTTTAATGATAATTATATGTTGTTGTTTTTTCACAGATGCATAATTATTATATAGCCCAGATAACAGCTAACAACTGGGCACTTAATAACCAGACAAGGTCTTGTGCTGCTTCTCTCTATTAGATCTGAAAGTTACAGATTATGATTTACAAATTTTTAGATTCCCCAAGTTTGAAGTTAAAAATCTAAAACAATTAGCATTTATTCAACAAAATTTGTTGTTTCAAATCACAACCCTGCATGTTTTTTTAGATGTGAATTTTCTATCATTGCCTTTTGTCATGTTACAAAAAGCAACAGGAAATTTCAGCTTACAATTTAATATGGACTGTATTGGTTTTTAATGCAGCTTAAGCTTCCTCTTGGACTATGAAACTAGCATTGCCTGTCTAACCAGTATTAGGCCAATCATAAGCCTTAGTCCAATGAAGCCAATTTTTAGAACTAGGCATCTAAAGTGATTTAAAAATTGTAGGGCAGTGAAAGTCAATTTCACTGTACCCAGCCTTTACTGATACAAGCCCAGGCCTTTCATGAAGGCAGTGGCTATTTGTACAAGACCATATCCTCTCACATCCATGCTATTCATGTGGCACTCAATGTGCCCCCCTTTTTGGGTGATTATGCCTGTCAATATAAACATGTCCATGTTCCCTAATGTCATGAACCGATTGAGTTACCTTCCTTTACTGTTTCACTGAAAGAGTGGGAAAAGTAGACCTAAATTAGTCATGTGAGCAAGCAAAGCTATGGCATAACATTTGCAAACCTGAATCACTTCTGCTCAGAGCTTCTTGTATTTACCCTCTTTGCTGTCAAGCCTCTCCAAGGAGAATTGTAATTGAAATTCCATTAGAATGACCCAAACACATACTTATGTGAAAACTATGCCCAGTGTTAGACTTGATCATTGATGTGAACTTCCTCTTTTCCTCCACAGTCAAGGGAGTTATCAGAGCACCTTGAGAAGCTGAAGGAGTTGACTGGGATCAGTGATGAGCAAGTGCTTGCTCATGCATTGGAAGCATCCAGATCTGGCAGTGGCGATTACGACGTCAATCAAGCATTTCATTTGGTTGTGAATGAACATTCACGAGACTCTATCAAGCTTTCACATCTGCACAGAGGTGTCAAAGTGGCTCCGACACCAGCTCGATCTGTCAGCAGCCCTGTGAGTTGGGTCATTATGTTTTTGGGACAAGGTCCACATATTCCAAGAATCTTATTTCTGGAAGGATGAAGGAGGCCATTTGATCTGATTGTTTTCTCTATGATGTTATTCAGGTTGTCCCCGATAGGGGCACAGTTGCAGAGGAACCAGAGGATTGGGATGCAGAGATAGAGACAATATCTCATGGACGAATGTCCAATTCAGTCCCACCAGGACCAAGACTTCGATCTGAAAGCCATGCCAATCAATCCCAAGCCAAGGTGGTAGACTTGACTGCAGAAAATTCTCCAGAGAATGATGATCTGATGAAGGCCATTGCCCTATCATTGCAAGAACAGCAGCAGCATCAGCAACAGCAACAACAGCAGCCAGTCATTCGACATGGGGTACTCGGGGGTCAAGTCACTGCTGAAGAGGAGGATATTAGCAGGTTGGTTGTAACTGTGTAAAAAAGGCTGGGCCAGTCATGATTTTCATTCTTTCCTCTTTTTTAAGTTCCCAATTTTTGTTCAGCCTATTTCTTAATGTCAACGAGTAATTATTCCCAACTGCCTGTGGAGTGAGAAATGCAGATTATGTCAGGAGAGCCTATTTCGGTGTTTTGCAACTTCAGTAGCCCTTCCAATATTGACCTTTTTTGCACCAATACATACATTTTTTTCATAGGGCCCTTGAAGAGAGCTTGGTGGATTCAAAGTACTCTGGGACAAAGCGAAAAAGAGGAGAAATTTGGGAAGATCCCTTGAATCCTCATGAGCGAGAACGTGATGGATTTTGGCCAGTTGGACTCAAGAATGTTGGCAACACATGCTGGTTTTCAGCTGTTGTTCAGTCTCTATTCCACCTCCCTGTGTTCAAGTATTTGGTTTTGAATTATGCTGTCCTTAACCCATCTGAGCAAGTGAGTCCTCACACCCCAGGAACCTCTTTTGGTTCAGTTATTGTGCTTAAATACTTCACATTGAATGTGGTGCATTTTTGCAGGATGAGGCAAAGAAGCAGGTCAGCATGTTCATGGTGGAACTTCGGAAGCTGTTTGCCCTAATGGTAGGAACGCGGCGCAAGTATCTGGATCCTTCCAGAACTGTGGAGATCTTTAAGAGACAGAATTTCCCTGATGGAAATGAGTCTCAGCAGGATGTGAGTGAATTTACTCACAAGCTTCTTGAATGGCTGGAACAGGCCTTTCAGAAGACCCCAAATGAAGGCATTTCTAGCTCTGATATAGAGCAAAACCCAATGGAGAGACTCTTCTATGGTGAATACAAGTCAGAAGGATGCAATGAAGGTAGTGGAATATTTTCATAAGTCAGAAGTATTCTTTTATACCTTGGATGTTTTTGTATAGAAAAATGTGCTCACTGTGTTTCAGGAAGGAAATTCTCTAACACAACGAAGATGCGACAGATGCCTCTAAGAGTTAAAGATTTCTCTGATCTTCACCAGGCCTTGGAAGCATCCATGTCTCAAGATAAGATCGAGTCCAGTTCAGGAGATGGGAATTCAGGCCAAGAGCATTGGTTTACTTCCCTTCCTCCTGTCCTCCTCTTTGAATTCCTTCGCTTTGAATTCAACCAGCAGCTTGGCCGACCTGAGAAGATCCACAGCCGGGTCCATTTTCCTGAGGTCATCTTCATGGACCGGTATATGGATGCCAACAAGGAAGTGATACGTGAGAAGCGAAAAGAGATCCGACGGTTGAAAGAGGAACGTGCAGAACTTCAAGCTCGTCTAGATGGTTTTTTGAACTGTGGGACTGGTGCTAAGCGAATGCCATTGCAGGACATCCTTCAGTATACTCTGGACTTTGTTGAAACGTGTAACAAGTGCCCTAGTCTATCTGCTGATGTGGAAATGACCACTCCTGAAGTTGTTCCCCCTCAGTGAGTTTTTTATTTCCATAGTTATTTCCATTAAAAAACTATTTATGAATGCCTGTAGGATTAGCATGTAGTAGAAGTGGTTCACCTATCTAGCACAGGATATTCTGATGATCTTTTTATAATAACAAAAAACAAAGTTGCTGTGATGATAAGAAGTCAAGTTGAGCACATCTTTTTAATCCTCTAGTATTATGGTTAGCATGTGTGGCCTGTAGAGAAAGATGCTGTGGACATTTCTAGAAACCAAAATAGAGGTGGTACCATGTTATGGTATTTTTTTTGGCATGGGGAATGATTGTTTTCTGGAGAAGTGAGAGGGAGGTGGAGAGCTTTCATTATTGTTCCCAGAGTAGAGAGTACCCAGAGTTTCTCAAGCACCCTCAAAGTTGTGCATGCAAAATAACTTAAAAGTAAAGTAACATCTGCTGGCAGGTGTAACTTGAGTTACATCTGCCTGCAAGTGCATGACAATATTCCAAGCAAAAAGATGTCATTTACTTATTCTTCTGGTTTCCTTTTTGAGGGGTGCTCCTTCTACCATTTATTTTAATTTTATAAGCAATTGGATCCCCAAAGTCTATAAATGTGATTTGTAAAAGTGTTATTTTATAAATTGTTCATGTTCACGTTGAATAAAGATATAATTAAGGCATTCAATGAAAGAGACTCCAGGAAAAAAGTAGACGATTTTGCTATTGATTAGCTTCCTAAACAGGGAAGAAACTTATCTGAGGATTAATTATTAAAAATAATATATGTCATTGCCTCTTTGTTGATGGTAATTTTCTTTATGGTGAGTGAGTAATTGATGATGGTGTACTTCCAGTTATCTATATTCGTTTGTATGTAATTTTCGGACTTTATAACTAATAACTAGAGTAGCCTGAGGATGCTGTTCTGGGAAGTTTTAAAACATGGACCTTTTTTCCTGAAGGAGGGGATCTCTGTGCCAAAATAATCCAAGGGGGACAGGTCGTTTCACATCTTCAGTGCAACTGGAGTTGGCTTTCCCAACCCCTCCATCATCCTCTTCAGGAGATTTTCATCATGTGTTCCCACCTCTCCAGAATCCATCTTCACATGTCTCGGACTCAGAGCTTCGAGTCATTCAAGGGGTTTTAAGTCGCTATCGAGACAGTGTATCGAAGGAGGTCCAGGAACTCCAGCAGTCAATATCTTCTATCGATGAGAAAATTGATAATCTTTATCAGGATCCCTCTCTGAAAAAAGTGAGCTAAGGTGGTTCTTCTTGGAAACATCTTGAATGGACAACTAGATATAGTTATAGCATTGATTCTTGTAGGTTGCCTATAAGCTGCATGCAGTCCTTGTCCATGAAGGACAAGCTGCTTCTGGACACTACTGGGCATACATCTGGAGCCCTATGTATGGACACTGGCTGAAATTCAATGACAACTCGGTACAAGAGTCTACATGGGAAGAGGTTGCAAGAGATTCTGTGGGTGGACACCATAATGCTTCTGCCTACTGTCTAGTTTACCTGGATTCCTCTTCTGCTCCTCTGCTTGAAGGTTTGTATGTCTCCTCTGCATGCCATTTCCATTATCTTATTACAGAGGTGATGATTCTGAGAGATGGTTTCGCTTTTAGATTTTCAGAACATATGTCATGAAGAATTCTCTCTTGGCTGTCTGATCTTAGATTTTCATGGACTTCTTTCAAAATTATGGACATTGCAGTGATTCTAACTTCTGTGTTGCACGATATTTTCTCTCCAGATATCCCAGAAGTTTCCATTGGAAAAATGCCTCAAGATCTGTTGGAATATGTGAAGGCAGACAATAAAGAGTTTGTGAAGGAGTTGGAAGATTGGGATCAGAATCAGCAGGTACCTTGCTCGCCTCCCATTTGCACAGCTGCATCTGCACTATTAAAAAAAAATTGTGATTTCTTAATTGCTGTTTATGGTATTGCCTTATCTGAACCAATGGGGCATATCTATGCTACAAAAGAAACCTAATTTGGTGACGAGTCTCTACCTGCCAGCCTTGCATTGGATTGCATTAACTTGGAGTTGAAAGATAGCACTCTTTCCTTCTTTGCAGCTATTAATCCCTTTCAAAGGCCTAATTTTTTTTTTTTTTTACTTTGGAGTTAAGCATTTTTTTCTTCTTTGAGCCCAGCGCAGCCTAGACCAGCACAAAAGGTAATTGTTTAGCAGTTATGGGCAGATGGTAATGGCTGATGGGGTCAAACACAGTTAGGGGTTGCCCTAGGTTTCTTGCTGTAGGGGTCCCTGGGACCCTCAGGTCAGATATGGAAGGGTCCCCTGATAATTAAAGGATTACTTTCTAAGTTAAGCACAAGAGAAACTTGAAGGGTTCCCCAAAAGTAAAAGTCCAGCAATCCATGTGTATTTGCCAACTTAACATAACCAAGCAGTATGATATTCAATCCATCAGTCTTAGGCCTTCTGCCTGTGTGTCCCAGGGGTCCTGGGACCTCCAGGAGGCCAGGGTAAGAATCTTAGTGAAACTCCTGACAATGTATAGCACTTGTACTTGAAGATTCAGTATGTAGAGAAGTGGAGGAACTGAAAAAAGGAAAAAGGAAAACAAATCCAGGATGATTAATGCAGCAGCTTTGTCTCCATTGTTAGAAAGCAACTTTTTTCCCCCATACACTGCCTCAGCAAATTGCTTAGAAGTTTGTAGTTTGAAGTTTGCTGATCCTAGTTGAAGCCTTTTATAATTAAATGACCTTAAATAGGTGAAAATTACTTCATGATTTGGCCCTTTGATTGATTGCAGATGGGGCTTGAACTTGTGAAGGTTGAGATAGAGGAGGGAGAAGATTTTCCCATGCTGGAGTCACCTTTTACATATTCTGAAGCCTTGGTGAAGAGGAATGTAGACATCGCATTTGATGCTGTTGCAAATGCCATCTGCAGGTTCGAGAGCATTGATGATCCCAAAATCGTGCTGCAGAAGGTGAGAGCATGCCCCAGGTGCTTTGAACTCTTATTCTCAAGAAAAGGCCATAAGTGTTCTTCCTCTGTTTTTCTGCCTACATTCAGGCCTTGGAATGGGAAAAGGATCGGTTATTGGCTGGTAACATGCCAATTGGATCCCAGTTGGAAGCTCTTTTGTCCCACATGGCATCCTATCTTCATGTCTGTGGAGTCCAGAATCAAAACCTCATGAATGCCCTCTTCCTGGAGCATTTCACTTGCATCAAACTTGATTCATTTCCAAAGTGAGCTTCCAAATGTCATTTGTTCTGATCATGTGTTAAGAGTGGCAGGTATTCACTGCAAACATGGTCACAGGGGTCGTGAAGTGAGAGCAGAGGCAAAGCAGCTCCTGAAGAAACTCTATGAAAGTATGGGACTTGAGTTGCAGATCCTGAAGTCTTGGCATGAGGCTTTCTATGCCTTCAGAAGTGTTGCCCTTGACTTCTGCAATGGAATAGAGCATTACCAACAATGCAAGTAAGGTGCTTTTTGTAAGGTTGTTTTTTCAGTAGTAGTTGAGGGTTCCTATTTCTGAGACATGATCTCTTCTGTAGATACACTGAAGCAGTGATCTATCTTTCAACTGCTTGCACAATCAATCAAGAGCTGTGTACTAAGGGTGCCAATGTTAGCAACAAGGGTTTGAAACATCTCTTCTTGAAGCAGTGCTATCATGCTTCTTTGTTGGTATGTACTCCTTGATATCCTGGCACGGTGGTAAATTGTGGACGGTCCATTAAGATAATATTTTGTTTGTTGGTTTACAGAACCTCGATGAGAGGGTTGTGGAGTTCTTCAAGTCAGAGGACATTGAAGTAGTGAGTCAGGCTCTGCAGACAATGTCTGATCTCATCCTCCCCTGTGTGGCTCACCTGAACAGAACTGGGAATGTTGATGAGCAAGACATGGTGGAGAAAATTCGCAACCATTGGTTCATGCTTGTTGGAGAGGAGGATCTCCCAGGTTTGTTCTTGTTCAAGCCTTTGAGTTTTAGATTAAAAGATGACATTCCTGTGATGTTTTTATGAAATTCTTGCAGATGATCGAAAAGAAAAGTTGAGAGACGTGTTGGACCGCTTGCTTGAACTTGACTGCTCCTCCCCCATACCCCAGGCCAAACATTCTATGTATGGAAGTGAAGATGAACTCCCCCAACGCTTTATCCGAGCCTGGAACTTTGCCCGGCATGAAATGTGTGAAAGACCATCCCACTCACAGCCCATGGATACATCTCCATCAACAGACATTTGATGTGTCGTGGGAGGTGTCTCACCTAGTCCTCACTTCACCCTCTCTTCCTGTCTCACACTCCTGTCCTGTGCTGTTGTTCTGTGTTGCTAAACAGAATTTATTGTCATACACAAACAGGTTAGACTAACATCCAGAGCCTTTGCTGAGGATATATGAGTATGCACGGAGATATAAGAGAGTTTCTACAGGACTGTTTCCAGTTGTCGTCAGCATTTTGACTCATGATGGCTTCTGTGCTCTTCATCATCATAGCCTCTGTGTCACCCATGGCAGCAATCTCCTGTGAAATCCCTTTTTTTATATTTTGAAACCAAGAATGCCTCTCCAATGTGATCAGTGCTATTTATATGCAAAGTCAAGAATACTTCTTTGTTGCTCATGTTTTTAGGAGGGAGCCCCAGAACAAAAGAGATGGTTTTGAGTCATTGACTTCCTTTGCTTTCTTCTTGCTTCATGAGACCATTGAAAATCCATGTTAAGAGACTTGATTGGCAGCATTCATGCCAGGCCTGCTGTCTTTCAGCAATGGCCTTTCAGATATATTCACATATATACATTATTAGAACACAAAATGAAATTGTGCTTTCGTACATCTATGTTTGGTACTTTCTCCATCCATTTACCACAACTTTGCAGAACAGGTCTGATCTTTCCTCTCAGTCTTGCATTGTCAAGCAGAGTGATAGATGAATGAATGAGTGATAGATGGCACACGTGATTTATTGAAAGGCCAGGCCAAGGTTATTGTGTAGCACCATTCCAGGGAAGATGAGTGCAGAGCTTAATGGAAACTGTGAGATTGTCATCTCTAATGATGGAAAATCTGTAGGTTTCAACAGCATGCAATGTAGCAAGAAATATTTGCACTTTGCACTGACTTAATTTGTGGAATCTTACAACTTGGCTTTTCCAAGAATTTTTCAAATTTAAAGTTTCATGAGAATGAACTATCCCATATCTCATTTGCACATGCAGGGAAAAACATTAATTAATGATACAATTACACGATACTTTGCCTTGCAAAACTGAAACAAGTGCAAACATTTCTCACTGTAATATTCAAGTATATATTCAGTTTCATTTAGGTCAATTTAATTCTACATACATTATGCCTCATCTTTTTAGAAATGGCTTTTGGCATCTGTCTTCACTGAGGATGCACAAAAAGGAAGAAATTTCCACTTCATCCCTGAATTTAAGTTTGTCAGGTCAGTGTTCATCTATGATATAATATGCAAAGTTTGTGTTTGTTGCAATAGAGCAAATGCATGACTCTTTCCTTGGACTCTCCATTTCAGGAGATACCAATGGTATCACAATGGATCCCTCAAGTCCCTGCTGTGGGTTTTTTTATTCATTCAACTTGGCTTGGCCATTGTTGAGAAACCTTCACTGCCTGGCTTCTCTACCCCTTATTATGTCAGGACAATTTTGTTTATGTTGCTTCCCTTTCAAGCAGCATTATGTTGTATATTGGATTTTTTCCCTGTACAGGTGACCATTCCAATCGAGTGCCTGTGTTTGGCCTTTTACCTGTTCCGTCTCATCCAGATGTGGTCTTTCACAGAAGGGAAAGTCTTCTGGCAAGACCCCAAACACCTTGTGATTCTTGTTATTAGTGTTGTAAGTTCTATCCCCTGCTCTGATATACAGTATTTACTTGAGTATAGTGCACCACTGTGTATAAGATGCACCCCCGCTTCTGAGGTCCCAATTCGTGTATAAAAAAAAAAATTCCCTGTGTATAAGGCGCACCCCCCTATTTCATGGCATAAAGTGTCACACAAGGAAGATGAGGAAGAGGTAATGCTGGTCGTGAGGTTGGTCAAACCTAGCTTCTTATTCACTGTCCTGACCTTTATTGAGAGGGGGCACAATATCCCTAACACTTGTTTCGTTATCCATGGAAATGTACAGGGAAGTTACACAGCAGCAGAGAAATCAAAGTGATTCGGGAAACAAAGGAGTTGGGCATCCATGCAATAGGTCATAAGTTTAACATCGAGGAAAGCTGTATACAGAAAGGGATCTAGGTGAAGGCGAAATTGAGTTGGGCACTAAAAAATCTCATGGCATTTTGTGGGGAAAAAGGGATCATTTTCAGTAATCAAGAAGGAAGTGGCTGAATGCAAAAAAGAGTAAGTCCATACCTCTCAATAAAATCCTCCATGAAGCATACCGTTTAAACATTTTGCTTCATTCTGGCACTATTTGCCGTGTTTTGGTCTCAGAAGGATGGTCTCTGTGCAAAATTAGCATGATCTAGACACAAACCCATACAATTGCAAAAACAAATGGGATCTCAGAAAATTCATTGCATCATGAGGATGAACAGTGCAATTCATAAAGGGATTTGGATTTTCTCTTCATTGGAAAACCTCTGGCTCAAATATTTCCTTGAGAAATTATTGTCTCTGGAACGAGCCCTTGGAGGAGGATGAGAGCTCCACAAATGAATTTTCCATGCTTCCAGACATCTCAGATTCCCGATACTGAATGAAGTCCATGAATTGACGTAGCCATTCCCTGTTTACTGTTTTATTATTATAATATTGTATTTCCCCTGTTCTGACTGACTACAGACACTGTTTCCACCTCAATAAGTGACCAATGAGTTATAGGTATGCTGAAAAAGAAATTTCTTGGTAAAGAGGACTTTTTTCCTCTGAGTACACAATAAAATATGCATTAAAAATGTGCCTTATACATGAGTAAATACAGTATTTGTTTTTTTTTTTTAAATGATTTTTTATCACCTTTTACCTTTTTTTTCTTTTTCATGCACATCAGGTGACCTATATTGACATCATTGCTTATGTTGCATCTGCGGCATCAGGAATTTGGTGCTTGAGGTCAGTCTTAGAAAATGTCTTTGAAGTGCTGTTTGACACTTTACCAGTAACCAATTGGATAAAATTGTAACATAATATGCACAAGGTTGCAAAAAACTCTAACATCACTATTATTGTTGGTGACTTATGAGGTATTATTCCATGTTCTTGTCTGCAGGTGGACCCGAATCCTGCGTCCATTATACATGGTGAATTTCCCAGAAGGCAGACAGTTTCGCCGTGCATTTCGTAACATCAGAAGGACTCTTCCAGATGTTTTATATGTCCTCATCCTCTTTTTTTTCAGTATTGCAATATTTGCTTTGATGGCTTTCAAACTTTTCGGGAAGAGGTAAGTCATCCTACTTATGTTTGATCTACATGATGTGTACTTATTGAGGTAGTTGTCTCTTTATGTACTGAAAGATTAGAATGTTGAATCTCGGTGTATTGAGAGGTTATGTATAGTACGTGAGCTGGAAAAGACAGAGTTGAATCTCGGTGTATTGAGAGGTTATGTATAGTACGTGAGCTGGAAAAGACAGAGTAAGTTTACAATGAACCTGCCAGGCAGCATATAAGGTAAAAAAAAGTGCTTTCAAGTAATGAAAAGCAGCACCCTGAAAGTCAGGAGCATACAATAATTTATTTTTGTCATTTATATATATCCCTATGGTTTTCATAGCTATGAGGGGTCAAAAAAAAGTGCTGGCTTGCCTTGGCTGAGTAATTTTGAGGATTGTACCTCATTGTCTGGGTTAGAGCCCCATCTTTATGAAAGTCAGTATCTTTGAACTACCAATCCCTGGATAGCACAAAGTGGGAGGGACATTTTATATTGCATTAGTAATATTTGTGCATTCTTGAGAGAATTTAACACAAAAAGCAGCAGTCTGTTTTTGACTGTCCTTCCCCATTGAAGTAATCTCATTATACATGGAGAAGTTGATGGAATTTGCATGGAACCACCTTTATGGAAGAGTAATACAATATAAAGAGGTAAGTGAGAAACATCAGACTTAGTTTCATCCAGACATGGGTCTAAACCTGATATGAAGGTGTAATTCACAAAGTTTCATTGCTCTGTCTAGGCACCACGATGACCACTGCACAAATTAAAAAAAAAATTATTATAGATCTTGAAATCAAGGCTTCCCTTGTTCCACAAGGGTTCAATGGTTACTGCACTCAGTTCACTTCTGTGTGTTCTTGATTCATCTTGTACTCTTCATTCATTCAGAGGACTTCGTTATCCAAATGGAGACTCATATTTTGCCAACTATGGGGATAGCTTCTTTGATCTCTACGTTCTTGTCACCACAGCCAACAACCCTGATGTCATGTATGTGGCTCTAAAAATCTCTGTTTATGAGACAAGCAACTGTATGAGGCTTGGCCTTCTTGTCACCATTCTAGGATGCCAGCATATGATATGGATGGAGCCTATGCACTCTTCTTTGCTGGCTTCCTCATCATCTGCCTCTACATCTTCATGAGCATCTTCTTGGCTGTTGTGTACAATAACTTCAGGAATCATCTCAAAGTACTGTTTGCTTGGAACTCTATTCCACTAACTTCCAATTTAATGAGTGCAAAAATTTTAGGAAAGGCTCTTGTTGTAGAATGAGGTGAAGTTGGCAGTGTTTTCCAAGAGGCAGATGCTGGCCAAGGCTTTTGAACTTCTGAAGGAACCAGGAAGTGATGGAATTGAAAAGGAGAAATTTTTTCTCTGGATGAAGGAATTTGTGTGCCCCCACAGACCTGATGATTATATTAGTATCATCTGGACAGTGCTGGATGAGAATGGGGACAATGTCCTCAGTAAGTTACTGCTTATTTTTATGCCTCCTCTACTGCATTCTCAAGGGCAAACTGGTGTTGATTCATGATTGATTTGTCCATCCTTAGGTCAGAAAGAATTCCTGCAGTTGGCAGATCTTCTTAATGTGGAAGTCTCAGAGGTCAAGGATAGAAGACCCCTTTTTCAGAGGCTGGTACCCTCATGTTTTGACTCCAGGCCATCCCGTTTTCTGCGAAAGGTTGTCATGCACATGTGAGGATGCCATCTCTTTGCCCCACTTTTGTTTTAATGAAATATGCTGCATGCAGTACTTTCTCAATTCTAGTTACTTCCGATATGTCTTTGATGGACTCATCATTGTGAATGCCATCTTTATCGCACTGGACATGAATCAAGCTGATTGGTTTTTCCTCACCATGTTCAGTCTGGAAATCCTGTTGAAGATATATACATTTGGAATGCATGAGTTCTTCAAGCAGTTTTGGAATTGGTAAGAGTGCAGAGAAGTTTTGGATTGACAGAGGTAAAGAGGCAATTGAAGGTAGATCTAGGATCAGTGGCATATTTGACAGGGAGCAGAGGGGGGCAGCTGCCCCCTAGCAGCCCCTGGGAGTGCCTAGCACCCCCTCTAAAGGATTTTTTTCACCCCTGAGAACCTTCACTCAGCATTCTCCCCTACCTCCAGCTGTGGTAGTTCCCTCCATGCTACCCTGCCCCCTGATTCATTACCAAACTGTGCCACTGTCCTGGAATAATACCATTTCAAGGATTCACAAGAATGTGATTTCTCAATGGTGCATTTGCTGCAGTTTGATGGTAATAACTTTACTTCAATCAGGTTTGATTTTGTTGTGATTGGTGCTGCCCTTCTTCTCATCTCTTATGAAGCAATAATTCATGAAGGTAAGTTCTGACAGAGTACTGGCATGGTTGATGTCCTGGTGACAAGTTATGAAGCACAGAAGCTGTTATGCTTCCAGAACAAGAAACTCAGACTACCCTGGATGTCCTGCTAGTACTAAGAGTCCTTCGAGTGGTCAAGATCATTGGGAGCATAGAGAGATTCAAGATCATTGTCTCAACTATTGTCAACCTTGGTCCTGCCATCATTACATATGGGATTGTCTTGTTTGTAAGCCCAGTCTGTCAATTATTCATTGTCAATAATGATGTTCCTGTCAGTTATAGTACTCATCATGTGTCCCTTTCTGGACAGGTCTTGTACTACATGTATGCAATTCTGGGGATGGAGCTCTTTTCGGGAAAAGTCCTGTTTTTTGGTGGCCATCCTTTATACCAAAATGCACTGAGGCACCCTGCATATCCAAATATTTCATTTTGTGGAAATTCAGCTTTGAATGGAACCATGTTTTGGGACCAGAGATACTGTGGCAACAACTTCAATCATATCCTCCGAGCCTTTGTGGTGCTGTTTGAGCTGACTGTTGTCAACCAGTGGCATGGTAGACTTTCCTACTCCTATCTTATAATGAATTCCATTGTGGGCTGCACTCCTGGTGCAAGAATCATGCATCCTTGATAACTAGTGGTGAAAACGATATTTGCTGCTCTTCAGTTTTGCTGTTTCCGTGTCATACCTTGAAAGTTACTTTTTTTTTGCCAAAAATTGTGAAAATTTGCATTACTATTCATTGTCAGAAATGCTTTCTGAGAGGGATACTGCTGGCAAATATTTCTTTTAATTAGAACTGATTCTTCCAAAATCCTATGTTTACCTAACATTTGTGGTAATGCTACATCATGATAATGAACTATATAAAAATAATTGTTTCTTAATACCAGTAATAATTGTGGGAGTATTTAACTGTTTTGTTCCCACTCTACAAAAGGTGCATGATTTTGGTTTGAACATTTGTGCAGTGAATCAAGACACCAGTTACACATGCCAACAAACTCAATGAGTTGGCTAAAACTGAGAGCATCTGCACTGTACCTCCAAATTTGTGCCAAGCCTTGGCAGTTGCCCCCATGGAATTCACCATTTATTTTCCTTTGGAGTTTAATCAAATAACAGGCATATCATTTGTCTTCTTTTAGTGATCACTTCAGGCTATGTCCATGTGACAAGCAAGTGGGCAAGACTTTATTTCATATCTTTTCATCTTTTGTGTGTAATCATCATTCTCAAGTGAGTTTACAGAAGTCTGATGTGTTTCTATGGAGAATTTAAGTTTGAGGAATACCTCATTCCCTCTCAACAGCATCTTCACTGCATTTGTGATCGAGGCTTTCATCTTGGAGTATACCCTGGCCAATAGAAGATTGGAAAATGTACTGGAAGCCAAGATCAATGAAATGGGACTAGGACTTGGCAGGTGTGTGAAGACTGAAAGTTTCAAAGTTGAAATTATATTGTTGATCTGATGATATGTACCTTTGTAAATCAGCAAGCCCAAGAGTATGTCAACAAAGTCAGACAAGTCGGGGTTGATGGATGACATGGAGCAAGAGCTGGAGGCCATAGATGCAGACCATGTTCCTAGGCAGTGTGCAGAACCAAATTCTGAAGTAGAAGGGGAATCCACTCTCAGGGACATGTTCAAAGACACAAGCATTCGCTTCCATCTCACCAGATGTATGAGTTTTCTGAATAGCTTTTCTTGTCTTATTTGGGAATTTCTGTGTTGATATGTTTTCTTTCCCTACTTCATAGCAACTGCAAGTACAGAAGTTTTTCTCAGACGCATGTTTGAGAATGAAATTGAGGAAGGAGATTTGGGCTTGGACTCCCAAGAGCAGGAGTCTCGTCCACGACGGCTCACACTTGATGCTGTTGCATGAGAAGATAATCTCAATATTACTTTTTCTGTGATGTCATCGCTCTGTCTTTATGCACAATTATGTGATAACCAAAGATCTATCCTCTGAAATTGTTTGCAGTACTTTTTATTTGTGTTTGCAATGCTTTGAATTGAGTATGCAGTTTTTCTTTTCCTCTAAATGTTATGCTAGAAGCCCTATTTATTTCAAATATTATGTTTGAATGTTGAAAATTTCAATATAGCATGTGCCTTATGTCATGTTGAAGAATTGAAACGTATGATGTAAAATGAAGAAATTGCTTGTACCAGTTTGTGTTGAGTCCCAGGCATGGACTAGTTGCTTGGGGCGTTCATGCCAAGAGGTATGATGTTCCCTTGAGCAGCATGGTGAACATAAGTAGTGCTGAAAATAGAAAAGAAAGGTAAGTAATTTTGTTTGTGGTAGGATGTCTACTTCTTGAAGAGTCCCCAAGTAAATATGCAAGGAAATACGGAAGAGAAAAGAATGTTAGATCAGGTGGATAATGCAGTTTCAATCTCAGTTGTTCATTCAAATGAAGTAGAAGTAACAGGGCAGTGAGTGGAGATGAATATCGAAAGAGACCAGCAGGTGATGATGTAGTGCAATTTATTCATTGCGATTTGTACTTTTAAATGCTCTTGTGCTAGGTAGGTATAACTTACCCTTACCATTAAGAGTTCCTCTCTTTGTTCCCCTCTTAACCCTTTGACGAGTATGCCCGTATATGTATGGGCTGACATCCTCCTGCCCTCCATGTATTCTCTACCAGTGATCTAGGCGTTAAAAAACCCACTCCTCAAAGGGTTAAAGCTACTTCTTCCTGTAAGTATGGTATGAAAAGAATAGCTGAAATCTAGCAGCAGGTCCGACCTGCTAAAGCTCAAAAAACAATCGGCGTGTAGGAAGTGGACAGACCCTTCTGTCCCCTTTTCTCTGCTAACTCGAGGAGTGCAGTGGCGAATTTTCGTTCTGGGTGAGATGTAGGTAATCCTTTCAAAGTTGAAACAAAATCTTGCTATGAGTTTTGTTTGTGGTATTGGTGTAGAATCCTCACCTCTAACGTCTTTGTCCGTGCTCTTCTCAGACGAGCCCACAAATACCGTTTAAATATTACACACTGCTGTTGCCTTCCGTATTTCTACGGCAAATTTCTATGACAAAAGATTTACTTCTCAATTTAGTATTTGGAAATTATATCAAAACCGGTTTCAGTTGCTTCACAAACTCGCATACCTTGACCAAAAGGTCAATTAATTTTTTAATGAGCTTTTTAAAAAGCTCATTAGCTCAAAAGTACAAGGTTGGCCTGAGAAGACTGATAATGAATTGCATGTAAAATTTGTTTTATAATTTTTTCTGGAGGTATTCGATATATTGTCAAAGTACAAGTGTGGGAGGTTTTAAATTCATGAACCAAAATATCTCACCTTTTACGCAATATACCTACAATTATTTCTTACATGATTTCAAGCAGATGGTCTTCTGAAGACATCATGTCGAGGGATCCGTGTTGAACCAATCTCTAGGCGTTTCAGTGAAGTATTTTCAGTATTGGTCTCCGCCACCACAAGGTTGTATGTTATATTGTTACAATTCCTTCAGCCAAGGTTGAGTCAAATATTTACCGCACAATTCCCTCCCTGGTGATGTGTGACCCTATTCAGACCAATCATTCAGTAGCCAGGAGGCACCTGTACCACCAAGCATTTTAGGGTTCCTCACATGTTATATAAGTACTCCCATAAAGACCCACAATTTGCATTGAACTTTCGCTCATATGAACACAATACCATGGGCGTCCGCTCTAAGGGGCAAGGGGGTGGGTGCTTGCCCCCCCCCCCCCCTCCCCTGGAAATCGAGCATGGCAATTTACTGGTAGTACTAAAAGAAATAAATTTAGTGTACTTCATGTGGAAATCTCTTCTTCCGTAGCCCCATTTAGACCAATCTTGCCGCGCAATATGAAGCATCGTTTCCCACCTTACCAAGCAAAGTATATTTATTCTTCCTACCAAAAGATGACGCTATTAGGCCTAACGACTTAAAAATTTAACTCAGCCCATCTGGTCCAGAGGCTCCAGTATAACAACACTACTGCTCTACATGACATCGCGCCAAAGCTGAAGATCGTACAATACGGAATGCAAGTATCCCAGGCTGAATGACTATTTCACGTCTTCCTTGTAGGTCGTTCGCACCAGGCCTACGGTAGGCCTGCCCTAGTCAAGTGAGCCTATGCCTGCCACCTTGGTACGTATTTCTGTCCAGTTTGCTAAAAAAAAAATCAAAGCCTTAAAGAAGGCGCCCCTACCCCTACGGCGTAGTTAGAAGCTTAGGGTTACATTTTTGCAGTTACATTTGTTATTTTTTATAGCCGAGGCGCCTGCTGTTCCTCTTTAAGGAGTAAAAGACCCTCCCAGCAAACAAGTGTACTAACGTTACGAACGTTGATTCAACGTTATGTGTTTCAAATTGTTTGCTGGGCTGTTTCATTGTCTGACATAAGAGTTGCGTAATATATCTACGGGTAAGGGCTACTTTGAGGCCCACAATTTCTGCCGTTGTTTTTAAGGCGAAACATTTTCCCTTTGATTGCAGTTATGAAGAAAAAAAATGAACTGGTCATGAAAACTGTATGGTTTTTTTGGCCTTAAAAACAACGCAGAAATTGTGAAGTGGGGTCTGAATAAAAATGTGTGGTATGCGTTTAAAAAAAATATATAGCTTTGAAATTGCTCTCATCTTTTGCTCAAGTAAATGGCTGTCATTCTGCAAAATTTTCAAGTTTGTTGAGCTGCATAAGAAATGGCACCATACAATTGAAAACTGTTTTTTTTTGTGAAACTTGTGATTTTGCATATTTCGAGCCATCACATCTCCTTAAACGGAATTTGTTGGGACAAAAATGGGATACATATCATTAGATCTTCTTCTGCTGATTCAAAAAACATAGATGATGATAGGGTTTGATGAACATGTTGACGTTTTGCAAATTTCTGAACCTGCCAAAAATAGGCAAATTTGACAGCTTTATTTTATTCAGTATCGCCTCGAGGAGAAAAGTATATGAAATAACTTCGAAAGTCTAACCTTTTTAAAGAACAATGGTGTTCATTTTGGTCAAAAAGTTTTTGGCCCACATGAGCATGAAGAGGTGCCCCCTTTTTTTTTTAAATTTCACAAAATGTAACGAGTTATTTTGCAAAAACGGCTCCATACCCGAAACCAAAATTTTACATTCTAACTTTGGGCCATGAGGGGTACCGCATGAAAAATTTTCGTCAATATCGGAGGGGGTCATGCTTCGGCCTCTGGCTGATTTGAGATGGAATTACCCTGGTATAATTATCTGTTTCCTGCTGTACCTTCAGCTATTCAGTGCAGAAATCTTGTACTTCATCATCATTTTACAAAAGATAAATCACCCTTGTGTACGCATCTGCTCTGCCATTCTTGTGGCCCCCCCCCCCCCCCCCCCCCCCCCCCCCCCCCCCC